GTGGGGAGCAGGGGCGCGACCGCGCGCAGCCAGGTCGAGCGTCTCCGCGACAGCGAGCGAGGGCCTGAAGCCAGGCGGCAGGCCGGCAGCCAGATCAGCCAGAGGGCAGCGATCAATCCAAAACCTCGCAGCCTCCTGGAGCGTTTGAAGGCGTCCGCGGAAGACCGAGTGCGCGCGCTTTGCAGATCGCAGCAGGATCGCCCGGACAATCGCGGTCGCGGATACAAGCTCGGGAGCGCCCCATTCATGCCACGTGGCGTAGTCCACCCGTTGCAGAGCGCTGCCAGGGCGTCGGGCAAGCCCCCCGGGTCCGCGAAGTTCGCGCTTGCCAAGCTACACGGGCACCACGAAGAACTGTCCGACGCGTGATGGCGCGGGAACGACCCGCGCGTTGCAGACGCGCGCGCTGGCGGACGGCGGCGACGACGCCGTGGCCAGGAGTCGGAGCCGTCGCCTGAACTTCTGCCAAAGAGCCAGGACAGGATCCACAGGCGTGGCTGCGGGGCCGAGCCAGCAGCCCGAGCGCCTTCGGCAATTAATTTGGCGGCAGGCCCACCGCGGCGCATGGTCCGGCAGGAAACCCTCGACGCGGCTCCGGATCTCCGCGGAGAAGAGGAGGCGGAGAGCGGAACCAGGGGGGCACCTGTCAAGGGGCCCCAGGACACGCAAATAAATACACACAAATAAGATGATTCCCCATATGTTCCCATGTTTTCCGGGCTTTTGTCTTCCCGCCCAATTCCCATATTTTTCCCATATTTTCTTGGGGATCGACGATTGATTGTGTCTGTATGTTTTTTCCCCTCCTGAACCTGGCTGGCTCGAGGTAGGAGCGCAGCACAGCCGGCAGCCTCTTCGAGAGGAGAGGCGCCGCCGATGCCAGCGGCGCGCGCCCGCAGAGCAGCAGGCCCCGGGGGCGCCCAGCTCGGCGTGGGCGCGGAGAAGCGTCGGGCCCGCAGACGGAGCGAAGGGCGTGCGGGAAAGCGCGCAGCCTTCAACGATGCCTCGCGCTATGCGGAACATCGCGGTCACCCGCTGGCCCGAGATCGACGCGGCAGCCACGAGAGCGCAGAGACCCCCCAGCGCCCGGATGAAGCCCGCAGGGAAGCAAAGGGGCGACAGGACCATCGCCAAGCATTCCCGCGAGAGGCCTGGGAAGGCTCGGCCGAAGCTGGCGGCGGCGAGCAGCGGCCGCTCGCGAGAGGCTCCAGGGGCCAGGCCAGCAGCGCGCGCCAGGACGGCCACCTCGATGATGTGCGCGGTGAACCTGCGTCTGGCGACGAAGCCCTGTCTGCGACGCAGAGACGACGTGTTGCACGACGGGGGAGACGGCAGCGTTAAGTGCAGCGCCGATGATCTGGAGCGAGGTGTCGCGGAAGCCGAGGATGCGCAGGTCAGAGGGCGCGCAGCAGACGCCGCCATGCACGTCGTCGCCCTGAACACCTTTCGGGCGGAAGGCCTGCGCGGCGCCGGATTCGGCGCGGGGCGGTTGCCGGCCGCAGAGAAGCCAGGCGGTCGCACCCCGAGGACAGAAACACACAGACAAACACACACACACACACACAAAAAAAAGGCACTCGGGGAGAAGGCGCGCCACGCGACATGCGGGAGGCCGCCCATGCCATGAGCAAAGGACGAAGAGGCGAGGCGCGACGCAGCCAGGCCCAGCGAAGGTCGCGATGGCGGAGACGTCCAGGCAGCAGCTGCGCGGCCGTGCCGGTCGCGAATGCACGCGCGCGCCCCGGGTAAATTTACATCGACGTCTGGGAGGACGGGGCCCCGGCGCGCCGCGGCCGCGGCGACGCCCAGCTCGTTCGCGGAGAGGGCGAGGGCGCCGTCGACGACGCCCTCGAGGTGAGGTATAGCGTTCCTTGCCGAACGGGACCCGCAGTCGGACGCGACGCTCCGAAACTCGAAACTGCTCCGCGGCACCCTCGCGGGGGCGAGGGGGAGCCGGCCGAGCGCGAACGGGGCGGGCGCGGTCGTCGGCGGCAGCCCGGCGAGCACGCGAGGACCAAGGCTCGCAGGCCAAGGGGGTCGGAGAGCACCTCTTTGCCGCCCGCGGTCCGCGGGCGAGCACGCCCAGAGGCTCGGAGGCAGCCGTCGCTGCGCCAGAGCGCAGGGGCCGCCTGCCGAGCGAGGGGTCTGGCTGGCCCCGGGGCGAGCCGGCGCCGCCGTCCACGCAAATCTCAGACGACTCCGCGGTGGCCTCCCGCAAGGAGACATCCGCTCGGTCGAGGCTCTGGACGCCCGACGTGGGTGCGGAGGGAATGGGCACAAGGCCCAGCAACAAGTGTTGCCCCCCAGGCCAGCAGCGGCCGCCGTTGGGCAGGCGGCCGCTCGTCTCAGACGGACGCGGGCCGCGGCGGCGCGGGCAGCGAGTCCTGTTTCAAAATGAGCAGGAGCTGCCGCAGGGCATTGCGCCCACTTTTCCCGCACCCCTTTCGTTCGTGCTGGGAGGCGAAGCGGGGGGGGCGGGGGGGGCGGGGGCGCGGGCAGCGAGTCCTGTTTTAAAATGAGCCGGAGCTGCCGTAGGGCATTGCGCCCACTTTTCCCGTACCCCTTCCGTTCGTGCTGGGAGGCGAAGCGGGGGGGCGGGGGGGGGCAGCCGGTGGGGTCGCTGCGCCCCCGGTCGAGCAGGCGCCGGAGGCGCCGCTTGGGAGAAGTCGCCGCGCTTGCGCGCGCGCGCCTCGGGCAGGCGCGCGCAGAGCGAGGGAGAGAGAGAGAGAGAGAGAGGAAGAGAGAGGAAGAGAGAGGAAGAGAGAGGAAGAGAGAGAGAGAGAGAGGGAGGGAGAGAGAGAGGAAGAGAGGAACAACAAACACGAGAGGGATAGAGAGAGAGAGGGAGGGAAAGAGAAAGAGAGAGAGAGGGGGGGGAAATAACGAAGAGAGAGGGAGCCAGAGCAAAACGGCTCCCGAGCGAGATGGAGATCGCGGCGGGGTCGCTGATGCCTTGGTCCAAGAGATCCTCGGGCGTGCCACATGTCGCCACCAAAGCCGAGAGCTGGCAGAGTAGCCAGCTGGTGGGCAGATGTCCAGCAGCGGTCCAAGATCGCCGAGAAGTCGGAATCCTTGCGGTAGTGGGTCGGATCCGAAATGGCCTTCTCCGTGAGCTGGTCGAGTCCTTGGCGTCACTTGCGCTTGCGCGAGCGCCCCGCCTGAGCGGGATGAGCCTGGCGCGATTGATCAGCCAGCAGAAAAGGATCAAACGGCGCGAAGCTGAAGTCCCAAACGATGACCAGGACGCGCTGGAGGAAGTCCTTGCGCGCCCAGGCCGCGTCAGCAGCAATAGATTCCGTGGCCAAATCGACTTGGGCGGAGGAGAGGTCGCGGTTGCGGATGTTGCAGTGGCGCAGTCTGACATCCGGTAACGCTGTGGAGATGCGGAGCGCTTTCCCAGGGGCCAGCGGGGCAGCCGTCGCACGGCCAAACGCTTGCTGCGAGAAGGGGGGCGCCGCGAGAACGCCGCCAGCTGCAGCGGAGTCGAACGAGCCGTAGACCGCGCGCTTACCGCTTCCGACTCCGACTGGTGAATGTCTCGGATCGCGACGGTGCTATCTTTGAGGAGCGCGTGAATGTAGCGCGCCTTGGTCGATGCCATTCTTCCTCTGCAGCGCAGCAACGCCCTGGCATTCCAGCAGGCGGCGACCAGAAAGTTGAGGTGCGAGTCGCAGCCCGCAGGCGGTTTGGCCTTGAGGGCAAAGAAATGGCTGAAGACTCCGTTCTGGTTCGGCGTCTGGCTGGGCGACAGCACCGATGTCGGGCCCGAAAATGGTGCGATCCCAATTCCGAGCCGCCGGGCCCACATTATTGCACTCGAGCGCCGTCGGTTGCCGATCCAGGCGAGAGGTGAGGCGGCCAAGCGGCACCCCCGAGCTTCCGAGATCCAGCCCTGCTCGCGGCCCAGGCAGAGCTTGCGTTCTTGGAAACCTCTGTCGCACGGCGTGGAGCAGCGCTGCTTCCCACCTCCTCCTCCTCGTCCTCGTCCTCCTCCTCCTCCTCTTCCTCCTCCTCGTCCTCGTCCTCCTCCTCCTCTTCCTCCTCCTCCTCCTCGTCCTCGTCCACCTCCTCCTCCTCCTCGTCCCCCTCCTCCTCCTCCTCCTCCTCCTCGTCCACCTCCTCCTCGTCCTCGTCCTCCTCCTCGTCCTCCTCGTCCCGAAACGACGACGTCATGGGTTGTCAGGGCCGGCGTGGAGCCGTGTCTGGACGCCGGTGGCGCCGAGGAGGAGCGAGAGGCGCAGCCGGCCCCGCTCGAGCTCGAGGGGGTCCCGAGGGCTTTGGGAGGCCCCGCTGCTGCCCGCGAGGCCGCCCGCGCCCGTGGAGCGGAGGGTGCACAGCTGGCTCGGCGCCTCGCCAGGTACTCCAGATTTCGTAGTAAAGGGAGGGGGGTCTCATTTCGGGGGGGGGTCTCTTCCAGGCTATCTTGGAGGGCCTGGGGGGGTCTGGGGACGATGTTTTGGAGGGTTCTCCCACGGGGGGGGTCTGAAATGGCTTGTCTTGGAGGGTACCAGGTGTCCTCCAGCCTGAAGTACTCCAGATTTCGTAGTAAAAGGGAGGGGGTCTGGACCCGCCAAGACAAGCCATTTCAGACCCCCCCCCGTGGGAGACCCCCTCCCTTTATTACGAAATCTGGAGTAGTTGAGCCAGTGCGAGGCCGAGCCCTGGACGTCCTCCCTCTTACGGATGAGCGGGGCGGTGGCTTGGAGGACGGCGGGGCGGATGCTCCTTCTGAAGGCACGGTCAGATGGCCGATGAGGTTGAGGCGCTCTGTCCGCCACCGCGAGAGCCACATTTATAAGGAAAAGGAATGGAGGAGGAATACGAGGAGGATGGAGAGGAGGAGGACGGAGGACAAAGGACGGAGGAGGACGGAGGAGGACGGAGGAGGACGGAGGAGGACGGAGGCGGAGGACGGAGGACGGAGGCCGAGAAGGTGGAGGAAGCGGGGCAGGCGGGGGAGGCGGAGGAGGCGGAGGACGGGCGCTTGGGGGGGCCGTTTTCCGCGGCCGAGCCGCTCGAGGCCGCACCCTCCTGGGAGCGCCGCCCGCGCCAGCGCCGCTGGATGACCCTGGCGCGCCTCTCCACCATCAGCTCGTGGCTCCGCCTCCGGGCCTCGCCCGTCCACGCGTCGCCGCTGGCGCGCGCGGCGGCGGCCCCGCGGGCCCTGCCGGCCTGCAGGCCGGACCGGCGGCGCGACTGCTGCCCGATCTCGGCCTCCAGCATGCGGTTCTCCGCCTCGAGCGCGTCCGCCTCGGCCTCCACCAGGATGCGCTCGCGCACCAGGCGGTCCACCTCCGCGCGGCCCCTCTCGGCCCGCACCCGCCGCTCGTCAGCGAGCCGGCCCGCCTCCACCTTGGCGTCCAGCAGGGCCCCCTGCGCTGCCCTGCGCCACTCCGCCGCTGGAGCTCCCGCCGGCGGGGGGCGGCTGCCCACCAGGTCCTCCCACAGCGCTGGGGGCACCGACCACGAGGTGGGCGCTTGGACCTCGAGCAGGTCCAGCTGGCCCAGGCGCTCCTGCAGCTGGACGTTGCCCGCCTCCACCTCCCGGGCAAGCCGATCCAGCTCCCCTCCCGCGCCGGCCGCCGCGCGGGCCGCGCTGCTCGGGGGCCCGCGCAACTGCGCGGCCAGCTGGCGCGCGGTGAGCACAGCTTCCTCCAGGTGCGCGTGGTCGTCCGGCAGGCACGGCTGCCCGAGTGCCTCTGCGAGCTGGTCGGCCGTGACGAGCCTCTCCAGCAGCGGGTGAACCGCCCCCGCCGGGTTCGCCAGCGTGCCGCGGGTAGCGGCGCGGGGCGGCTGGGCCTCCTCGCCCAGCGCCCCGCAGCTCTCGCACAGGCGCGCGAGGAGCAGCAGGTCCTCCGAGCCCCATTGTTTCTCGGCGCTGCAGCTTCTGACCGCCTGGGCCAGCGCGTCGCCCAGCGGCACGGCGGGCCTCTCCGCGCGGGCGCCTCCAGCAGGCAGCAGGCGGCGCACGAGCGTGGCGCACTTCGCCGCCAGGTCCTCATGGGAGGCGCCCGCGCCCCCCGCCAGGCTCTCCTGCACTTGCGCCGCCAGCAGTGACGCCTCGAAGAGCCCCCCTTCGCCGGGCCGCCCAGCGCGCGCGGGGGGCAGGCTGGCAGATGCAATCACCACCGAGCCGGGTAGCGTGCCTGGGGCCAAGAAGGAGAGTCGCGCTGGCAGGTCCAGTGCCCCGATGTCGCTCCACTGCCTGCCCCGCGCGGGGTGTCCATGCAGGCGCATGGAGTGCTCCTGCAGCAGAACGCTGCCCGCGGGAATCCTCCGCGAGCCCAGCGTCAGGGGCTCCGTCACCACCAGCTGCGCGGTGGTCACCTTCTGAAGCCGATGGAGCTCCGCGCGCCCCTCCGCGCCGGGGCTCACGATGAGCCCCAGGACTGCGGGACGCGGGGGCGTGTCCATCACGCACGCGGCCTGCCCCAGCGCTGCACACGCCAGCTCCTCATGCTGGCTCGTGAGGTCCTCGGCCGCGCGAAGCCGCGCGCGCCAGCTGTCGAGCTCCAGCCGGAGGCGGGTCTCCTCCGAGCTCAGCTGGTGGCACTCGTACCAGACGTCCTCCTTGGTCGGCGCCACGTCGGGGCGGCACTTGTCCTCTGGGATGCTGGAAGAGTGCACGCCACAGCCAAGGCTTCCACAGGCCCACTTGGGGCCCAGGTCCTGGCGGAGGTGGCATCCGCCTGGCCAGGCCAGGGGGCTGTGTTTACCAACAGTGGGGCCCAAGAGGTGGGCCTCTTGCATAGCGTAGCTATTCTTGCATGGCGCAATTCTTCATGGCATGGCATAACGTAACATTGCACTGCGCGGCAACGCATCTCACTGCATTCCTTGATTAACGTGGCATGCGCAGGCATGGCACAGCATATCACACGCCATGGCAGAACAGCGTACTTATAGCATTACGCAGCATGGCGCAGCATGGCACTGCCTTGCATAGCGTCTTTCCACAGCGCCCAGACGCGTCAGGGCCCTCCCAACGAACGAAGCGCTCAAAATCGGGACTCCGATCCCCTCGAGGGCACCGCCCTGCCCCTTCTTTCCAGGCCGCGCCCGGCCGTGGCCGCGACGAGGGGGGGCCCCGAGCGCCGCAGGGCCCTCGAGGGCAAGACCCTTGAAGACTGAGGCTTGATCCTCGGGGAGGCGCGGCGGCGGCGGCACGGTTGAGACGTACGATAAGAACAATGCTGTTTGTGAGGCATCGTTGAGGACCGCATCATGAACCATTCACTCCGAACGACACGAGCTCCTCGCTGTCACGCCACAGCGTGATCCTTGAGGCGCAGGCCTCCGTCGAAAGCCGTGGGTCCCGGGGTGCCCCCGAACTCCTGCGGGCCCCTGGGGCCACCGGCGGAGGGCCACCGGCGGAGGAGAGCCTGCTGTGGGGCACCTGCCGGCAGGCCGGGTTTCTCCCTGATGTGCCCACTGCAGATCCTTTTTCCCAAAAAGGGCCTCCGACGGCCCGACGACACAACTCTTTCTGGTCGCTGGCCCCCTGGAGCTCTCGACCGCTTCCACACGGAGCCGGCTGTTCCCCCTCGGTCGTTCTCGCCGGCGCGGGGGCCAGAAACGAACAGCCGGACGCCCAAAGCTGCGAAGCACCTCCGGCACCGTTTCCGTAAGGGCACCAGGAGGTCCGATTTTCGGGCCGCAGGGTCGGGCCTCGGAAATACTCATCCCGAGTGATTACGTACTAGCTGTAGCTTCGACGGGAGTCCAGCCGTGGCGCTGAGAGCACTTCCAGGGTTCCAAACCATCCCCAAACCTATAATCTTCATCCTCGATGCTCGATGCTCTATGCTCAATGCTCGATCCTCCTCATCGTGTTCTAACCTCGATCCTCCTCCCATTTCTCCACTTCGTTCCGAGGATCCCAGAACTCTCCAGAGGTCTCCGAAATCCAGGACGCCGCCGGAGGATCTCCAGAAGCCACTGAAGCTCCCCCCCTCGCGCAAAAAAACAAGCTTCAGGAGCATTGTATGTAGACCTGGGGGGCTGCCTATGGCAGGCTCACGCCGCGATGACGTCTGCCTTGGCTTCTGCCTCCGCGTGGCGGCGTTCAACCTTGAACAATCGCGGCCTTTCGATAGCGCTGCTTGTCTGTTGTCGGCCGATTCATGGGCCCCTGGCCGCGTTGCACCTTGAACGCCCGCGCTAGCGTCGCCACCACGTCAACACAACCGCCATATCATCTCCGTTTTCCCCGGCCCCCGACGTCGTCAGTTCTTCACAGCGTGTCGACCCCTTCCCTGGGGCCAGTGTTTACACCTGAATCGTCGTTTGACGGCCCCGGTGCCCAGTACAGGCCCCATGCAGACGGAGACAGTTGCCAAAAATCTTGCGTCGTGATCTTTGCAAGACAGACGCGACGGGGTCTGGGGCTATCCCCTCGGCATCCCAGAAAGTCCTTGGAAGCCAACAGAAGTCCAGGAAATCCACGCGGACATCTTAGATACTACTTACGTTTATGCGGCTGTTCTGCAATTCGGGCAGCTAATTGAAGGCCACTGGTCCCGGCCAGGGCTCGCGGAGGCCGAAAACGATAACAAAAAAACGCCCCGACCCTGAGATCCGACGCCCCGAAAAACTGAGACATCGTGAACAATCACGACTGGAGCCCCAGACCCCATCTCTCTGCTGCAGTTCTCGAGCTGGATCGATCTGTGAAGGTCCCAGGGCCCGACATGAGGCGAAGGTGCCCGGCTCAACAAAAATTGAGACACCAGGATCGGCTACACGCAAAAGCAACCCTGGGCAAGAGTGACCTTTGGTGCGCGGATTTAGGAGGCCGCGGGTAGGCCAAACCTGGGCGCGCAAGCCGCTGCTGCCGCTTCGCGAACGGCGATCGGGGGACCCCATTGGGCCTGCACCAAAGGTCGCTCCGGCGAAAGTTCACTCTTACGTCCAGTCGACAGGATCTCCGGGGACCTCAGAACCCTTTCCCTCAGGACCCGCTTCCCCCATGGCTCGCAGCCCGCCAGCCGGCGCCGTGGAGACGCCCACAGCGCCGACGTCGACGTCATCGTCATCGTCGTCATCGTCTTCGTCGTCGTCTTTGTCGTCTTCGTCGTCGTCGTCGTCGTCGTCGTCGTCGTCCGCATCGTCTTCGTCGTCGTCATCGCCATTGTCGTCGTCGTCGTCGTCTTTGCCGTCGTCGTCGTCGTCGTCGTCGTCGTCGTCGTCGTCGTCGTCTAGTCGTCTTCTAGTTGTCGTCTAGACGTCGTCTAGACGTCGTCCAGTCGTCGTCTAGACGTCGTCTAGTCGTCGTCGTCGTCGTCGTCATCGTCGTCGTCGTCGTCGTCGTCGTCGTCGTCGTCGTCGTCGTCGTCGTCTAGTCGTCGTCTAGTCGTCGTCTAGTCGTCGTCTAGTCGTCGTCTAGTCGTCGTCGTCGCCGTCGTCGCCGTCGTCGTCGTCGTCGTCGTCGTCGTCGTCGTCGTCGTCGTCGCCGACAGGACCTCTGGGGGAGCTCCCAGAGGCGCTGGCTGCCACGGGGCGGTCCTGCCTCGGCGCCGGCCTCGCCGCGGCCGCCGTGGGGGCGCGTGCCTCGCTCGCCCTCCCGGCCATCCGCGCCGTGCAGATTGGCATTCGAGTAGGGGATCGACTACAAAACATTAATTTGCAGTGGGGAGGAGGAGGAGGAGGAGGAGGAGGAGGAGGAGGAGGAGGAGGAGGAGTTGCGAGTTGCGAGCTATCCCACGAAGTGGTCGAAACGAACGGATTACAAGCGACAGCGCTGCTCAGCCTGACTAAGCACCTTAGGCCACTTGCCGACTTCTAGTCTGGAAAGGTACTCCTTCCTATGAGGAGCTACGTGCCTGCAACAAGGTTTGGCCAACTCTCTCAACTGCTGATGAGCGAAGTGGCCACACCCAGAACAAAACCAAACTTTCTGAGCATTCGACAGTCTCAAACTGTGCGACGTGTCAACCCACCCCCCAGCTACGTGGAGCCGCCCCCCCATCGGAAGGCCTCTGAACTTATCAGAAACAACATCTGGCACGAAACAGGGCGAGGTGAGCCACTCAGACAATTTTGCTCTCGAGGCAGACCCGAAACATCTGAGGCACCTGCGCCCGCACTCGTCAAGGCTATGTTCCGACACGAGCACGGGCGACCGAGGGGGCAGGAGGAGGGGGAGGAGGAGGGCCCTTCACCCTCGGGGGCGCTCCACCACGCTCCTCGGCCTGCAGCGTGTCCAAGCTGGCCCTCAGGAGGCGGTGCCTGACGAGCCACGCCGTGCGCTCGATGGTCAGGATGGAAGCCCGAACCTCGTCGGGCAATCTGCATGCTTGTGCCGCCTGCGCGGCCAATTCGTCTACACAGTGATTGCCGACAGCCAACCAGGACGGGATGCCTGCATCAACGATCTGCTCGCCTGTGAGGTGAGAGTTGACGAACAACACAGAGACCTGCCCCCTCCGACGTTTGAGCTGTCCTCCGATGGCATTCCAGAGATCTTTGTTGGCCCCATGGGGCCGTGCGTGCATCTGCTCATGAAATCCTTTTGTGACCGCTTCACAGTCGGTCACATACACCAGATGGTCCTTAGTACACTCCAAGGCCAAAAGAAAAGCTCTGACTTCCCCTCTGGGGACAGACTGCACACGTCCCGCAAGAGGGCCCTGGACGGAAGCGCGAATGACACACGGAGAAAAAGCCTCCAGCACAGTGATTGCAATACCAACCCTCATGAACCTGGGATCTCCTGAATCCTTGCCTCCTGAAGCATCTCCAAAGACAATCAGGGGTTGCGCCTCAGTGCCCTCCCCCAGACATCCAGGTGGTTCTGTCGCGTTGGTGCCGACCAGATGCCACGTCTCCTCCATGGTTGGCGGAGGTGCTGCGGTCCACCTGGCTGGGATTATCCCTCGCAGCCAAAAACAGGGCTCGGCTTCATGTTGTGCGTATGCAGCGCAAACGAGATGCTCTGAGTCGTCGTAGGCCTGGGCCCCTCGATTTTCAGCACACCCCCAGCACCTGTGAAACTGAGTTTCGGGCTCAGCGGAACACCTGGGACACAAAACCTCATGCTCACCCGCGGTTTCGTCTTGCTGCCTCTGGCGCGGCCAGGACCCTCCCGTAACAATCGAAACCATCATCTCGGCCAATCGCCTGCCCTGCCGCACGGACTGAAGCTGCTGAATGAGTCTCCGCAGCGACATATTATCAACTCCAGACTGCATTCCTTCGCCGCAAAAGTGGCGGGCGGCCTCGCGCCACAACTTGGCTTGAATAGTAGCTCCAAAGTCCTCCAGCAGGGGCTCAGGGTCGTCATCCAAGATGTTTCCAGAAAGCTCAGAAGGGGGGAATCTCCACATCTCCAGGTCCCCTTCGTGGTCCTCTGGAGCCCTCCAAAGCCAAGGTAATTCTGGATTCCACCCAGCCTCCAGAAGATGTAGAATAACAGCTCCTGTGGGACCGCGGACCAGCCGTGAACGTTGCCCTGCTGGAGCTTCCTTCATGCGCTGCAAGATCTTCGGCCATGCAAGCATAATGCCCTGCCGTATTGTTGGCAAGGTCAAAAACTGCTGCAGCCATAGACGGAGACATGCCTTGGGAAGTGTGTATCCTGGATCTCCTCCTGGACTGCGTAAGTCGAGCAACGTGGTTAAACATCGCCCCCTCTTCCCTGATCCGCAGGCATGCCCCATCTGGCGCCGAGTTCTCGTGAGGTGAGTGCCGAATACTCCGTGCAGCTCGTGCCCATATAGTCCTGCTGCCATGGTGCCAGCGCGCGTAAGTTTACTAGTAATATGATATCTTTTGCCAGCACGTGCATATCGAACTACTTTGTTGTGCATGGTGACGGCTTTTTGAACACGTTTGACCCTTTGCTGTCGTACATGTCGTTTGCCCCCACTCAAGTCCACGCCCAAATAACCTGCCCGAGTGCACGGCTTGACGTGGAAACCTGCCTTCCGAAGCTGCACAGAAACGAACTGCGCATCACCCAGATGAGTGCATAGCACCACGCTCTTGGGTGAGACTGTGAGGCATTCGCTGGTGAGAGCACGGCATGTGTCCAAGAGGCCTTGGACGAGCGAAAGTCTGATCGCACGCCGTGAGCCCCGCACCCGTTGGGACAAATCGTCGACCCAAATTCTAGTGCCCATAGCTGGGTGAGCAACCGTGACACGAGAAAGAATAAAATACGTCAAACATCTGGCAAATCGAGTGCCTCCACGGAGGCCTTGCACAATGGAATGAGTAGGTAGTATAGGTTCGGCGTAGGCCCCGCTTTGTCCCAACGACCGTGGCATGATACACTGCAATAACTCGAGATATAGAATTACTGGTGGGTACCCCAACCTTAGAGCCGTTGGTATAAGTAGAAACCATTCCATGGAATCGTAAAATCCTTGAATATCCAGGAGACCATGGTCCGTAGGGATGCCGAGAGCCCCTGATACTTCCTCCTCGCAAACTCGCAAAAAGGCTTCCCGCAGGGCGGCGTTGCCCTGAATAGCTGCATCCCACATGGGCTCGGATTCAGTGACCCAAGTCTTAACATGTGGCTCTCTGGCTAGACTCCATATTCGTGCTATCATCGAAAGGAGCCCGATGACCCGATCCCCTGAAACTTTCTTCGGTAAAAGCCGTCCAATAGTGAGCCCAAGTTGTGCTGGCCAAACAAGTGTCTCTTCGATAACGGCATATAGTTGGGAAAGTTCAGTCAACGCAATATCGGGCATCCTTTCGATATCGGTAGGACTTAAAACATCCACGCCTTGTCCAGCTCGTGCCTTCATGGCGTGAGCCGCTTGTCGAATCTCGCAAACTGAAAGCACATCCAGCGGTTCGTCACGAGCCGCTTCGCGTGCCACTGCAAAAGCGTGAATGATCCTCGCATCTGTTTCAGCTGAGGCTGATTTCGCCCAGAGGTCCCGAAATAGTTTGGCCCGCAGATCCACAACATCCCGAGGTTGAAACACCACAGTAGCCCCTTGGATGATTTCCTCCGAAGGTACAGGGTCCTGCCTCATAGCTTTATGCAAGACGCCTGCTGCCGCGGGAACTGTCACCCATTCTTTAAACTCAGCTAGCGAAGCCCGTAGCGCACGAGCGCGGCACCTCGCAGCAATCTTCTTTGCGGCTCCTACCAACAGTTGCAGCTTGTCCTGGGTGACCAGACGTGCACTGGACTTCAACAGTTGTTTCCAAACCTCCCAGGATGGGTCTGAACCAGCCCGAAGTCCCCGATGGCCATCGTCAGGAGCCTGGTCCCCTAAATGTTTACATGCTTGCTCAAGCTGCTTCTGCTGAATGATACCGTTGGCGCGAGCTCGATGATTGTACAATCTTTGAAGAACCGTGTGTGTCTTTTCCCACCAGGATGTGAGTCGATCACGATACGGAACCGTCCGACTCTTGGCTGGTAAACGCACTTCCTGAACCACAAAGCGGTGCCCACGAGCTCGCCCCAAAGATGGGGGCCCTTCCACTCCATGATGCACATAGATCGTCCGTTCGAGCGCGGTGACCCAAGACGCATACAACGCCGAGACATCCTGGATTGAACCATGCTCAAGCCTAGCGGCTACGGAAGAAGCAAAGGCAGCATGGGGTGCAAACACTAGAAGGGAACAGCCCGACTTCGGATCTCTCTTGGATCCAGGTCTCGGCTGGGATAGCGAATGACACTGGGCTCGCTTCCTGACTTGGGGGGGGCGGCTCTTGAAACACGCTGGGGGGTGGGGGAATAAATTCACCGACTGGCTCTCCAACAGACGAATCATGTGCATCAGGAGTGACAAGGCCCCAAGTGATGGACGGCGTGTACTGAGGTAACGTGAATACATGCGGCGCCCCTGGGTTCCATACCCACGGGCGCTCGTCGATCTGTTGACTAACCTGCTGCTGGGGAGAAAAGACACATTCGACAGGCACGCCGATCTCGGGCCCCACTCCAGGTCCAACAGTCCCAGACCCACAACCTGAGGACCCCGAGAGGCCGTCAGGAGTGGATGAGGGAACCTTTGCACCCAGCTCGCGGTCAGGACAGAAATTGAGCTCCGACGCCCAAGGATCTTCTTCAAACTGCTCGAAGTCCTCGGGTCCCAAGTCTGGCTCGCGGTCGGGCTCCGCATCTGCAGAAATATTAGCAGCTGCCGAGGTGTCAGTGTGCTCTGGCCAAAGGTCGCCAAAAAAGCCCGTCGTGGCGCTCCTGACGCTTGACCTTGGCAGCTTGCATTCGGACCGACCGCTGTTGCTTCTGAACTTGGGTCTTGGATCCTAGGATGGGCGCCTGGCTGGGTCTTGCGACCTGGGGCAATCGTGCAGGTAGCGACAAGCACCTCGTGATAAGTTGCTTGCCTGATGAGCGCATGGTGATACGGAGGCCGCAGTGCGTTTTCCACGGCACCGCCATCATAGCTTCAACGCGGGCAAGGTAAGCCACAGCTGAGTGAGACCTGACAATGTAATCAATGTGGCTGCCTTCTCTGCCCGCGTCGCACGTGTATTCCACAGGCGCCTTGACTACCACACCGCCTACACGAGTGAGAAAGTCAGATGATTGCAGGACATCCGAAGGCACATTGTAATCGCCAACGGCAACCCACGGGAGCTGCAATGACGATAAAAAGGCGCCTAAGCGATTAAATCTCTGCACATTGTCGCCTGTGAGGCCCACTGCCGTGAGCCCATAAAATGTGACAAGTACGTACGAGTATCCAGACATGTGTACAAGTGCGGCACAAAATCCGTCTGTCGCGGCCTGTCCGTCGGCCTGAAAATCAGCAAGAGCAAGCTGAGGCATCATTGAGTGGGCCTGAAGATGTCCCGACGCCAGGACCCACTCCCCGCCCTCAGTGGCTCGCTCGGCGCCCTGGGCTGTGCAGGCGCGACCAGTGAGTCTTGCCGGGTTGGCGAAGACTCTGAGTTTCGCCTTGCGAGCTTTGGGCAACCAATCTCTAGACAAGGAAGTACTGGAGACATGAGTCTCGGCAAGACAAAAGAAATCAAAAGCGCGGTGCTCACATGCCTCCTGAATGAACTGCCACACCTTCTCCCCCATGGCGGTGATGTTGCCATACAAGATGTGAGTGAAGTCATTCTCCCCTGGCCGTGAGCGCGAGCAATACGGCTTCGACGACGAAACCTCCTTCGATGACGATGATGTACTGCGTGAGGTACTCGAATCTGCCGATTCCACAGATAGTCAAGAGGAGGCGGTGTCCCCTTGCATCTGCTTCTGCTGCTCACGCTCCTTCTGCTGCATCGCGGCGAACTTAGCCTGCGAGATCCGCTCGGCCTCAGCCTGGATGCGGGCCGCGCGCTCCTCGGCGGCTGCGTCATGCTGCGCCGAGGGCGCCGCGCCCTGTGGAGGAGCCTCCGTGGCACTGCCCGCGGCGCTGCTCTCGCCAGCTGTGGCGGCGGCCGCGGGTGAGTCCACGTCTGGTTTCCTCTTCTTCTTGATCCGCTCCTGGATGTCAGCCTGCATCTTCTTGGCCTTCTCGACCCACGAAGCGACTTGATCCGCTTTCCCTTCCAACGTCTTCTGCGTGTCGGCGAGTTCCTGGCGGATCTTTAACAACTCATCTTTCTCACTCTGCTCGCAATCGAGGTCCTCGATGTCTCGAAATAGCTGCTCATCCCAATGTAATCCGAAGGGTTTCTTCTGGCTCTCCTGCTGCGGCTGGGCTGCCTCTGGGCGCCCGCTGGCGATTCCCTCCTGGGACGCCAGCACGGCCGCAGCCTGCTTGCGCACAGCCTCGGCCTCCGCCACCTCGATCGCGAGCTTCTGCTCCTTGGCCTGCGCCGCCGCTAGGTTCTTCTGAAGACGAGCGACTGCTTGGACCGATTGATCATGTCGGTTGTTGACATCACGAAGAGCACCATCGGCACGTTGAAGTGCCTGCAGAACTGACCCTGTGGAACTGTGGCTGCTGGTCTCTTGAGCTTCTTTGATCTGTTGCTCAAGACGCTGCCGCATGTGAGGGTCCTTTGCTGCCTTCAATGCCGAACGAAGGTGACTGATGACATCATCCTCTACGCCACTGCTTTTACCCCTCGGTGAGCTCCTGGGCGTGGATGCAGCGCTGCCTCCACCTCCACTGGCGCCGTCGTCGAAGGATACCCTCTTCAGGATGCTCTTCTTCGGGGATGGTACATATAGTTTGACTTTGCGTCCACATCGACCACACTTCATGTCTCTCTGCTCGAGCCTATCATTGTATTCGTTCTGTCCACAGCCCTTGCAACATGACCAGTGTCTGACCGACATGGAATCCGCGGATTCGGTCACCGCTCTGAGCTGGCACGGGTGCGCCAACGGTAGCGGTGTGCCTCAAGCACCTCGGGCAGGTACCGCGGGTGGGCGAGCGAGCGGCCAAAATGGTGCTCGAGCCCAAGTTGCTTGAGAGGAGGAGGAGGAGGAGGAGGAGGAGGAGGAGGAGGAGGAGGGAGGAGGGAGGAGGAGGAGGGAGGAGGAGGAGGGGGAGGAGGAGGAGGAGGAGGGGGAGGAGGAGGAGGAGGAGGAGGAGGAGGAGGAGGAGGAGGAGGACGAGGAGGGGGAGGAGGAGGAGGAAGAGGAGTAGGAGGAGGAAGAACGAGGAGGAGAACGGAAGGTCCTCCCAGGCCCCCGTTCCTCCTCCGCCTCCCCCTGGACCCTCCCCCTCCCGCGCAGGGCTTCGAGTGGGTAAGGAAACATTCGATAAGGAATCCAGGGTCTGGAAGCCAGCGGAACCCCGATCGTGGATGGGCCATGGATATCACCGCCACCCTCCTCAGATAAGGCATCCTCCAGGGTCTGATGCCTCCTGCGCAAAATGCTTCAACGAACGCCCCCACCGCATCCCCAAGTTGATCTTCTCTCCGACTCCACGAAAATACGAAGAATGGTCGATCGTTTCGCGCACTCGGCGAGAACATCATTCTGAGGTAAATCAGTTCTATAGTCGATCCCCTACTCGAAGCACGGGGGAGACGGGTCCTGAGTCGAACCTGGGCCAGAAGAACATCTTTGAAGAACAGGGCACCCCCTGCAAGCCAAAACAAAGTGAACATCCAGGGGCAACCTCCCCAGGAGGCACGAGCAGATCCAACAAGAACCAAGCACACCAAGGGACCCTCCCCGAGCCGACCTGGATCTTGTACCTCGGTCCGACTATGAAAGGGAAGCGGGGGTCCTGGACCTCGGGGCTTCCCCCCGGGACAAGATCTCCATCCCGAATCCGCCGACCCTTTGGGGCCATCAGTGTGCGAGATGCTTCCCCCTCCCCAAATTGGCGGCGCGCACAAGGGGGTGGAGGGAGGGGGGAGGGCTTCTCAGAAGGAGGCTGCTTCTTAGAAGGCGCCGGCCTTACATCTATAGATAAGGCCCGCGCCTTCTAAGAAGCAAGGGTGCTTCTAAGAAGCCCTCCCCCCCCCCCACCCCCCTCTGCGCGTGGCTGACCAAACCCCTTCCCCCCGGGGCCCGGCCCGGTCGGTTTGGAGGGGGGGGGCCCGGCCGGCCCCGGCTGAACGTGTCACGGGCCTCACGACGGGCCACGAGGGCCCCAAGAGGCCCACAAGATGGTCCAAGAGGGCCCCGAGTCGCCGATGGATCGTTCCAAGACGCCCAAGATGGCCCCCAGACGGCCCAAGAGGCCCCCGAGACGCCCCAAGAGGCCCCCAAGAGGCGTCCCAAGAGGGCCCACAGAAGCAAAAATCGTCTCATTTCCTTGGGGAAACATTTGGTTTTAGCACATGCGCTTCTTAGGCTTTCACAGCGTCCAAGACGGCCCAAGAGGCCTCCAAGATCGCCCCAAGACGGCCCAGAAAGTCCCCAAGACGGCCCAAGGGGGCCCCAAGACGGCCCGAGAGACCCCCAAGACGGCTCCAAGGGGGGGCCCAGGCGGGGGACCCGAACGGAAATTTCGAGCCCTCGGCCCCAAGAAGCCTCCAGGAGGCCCCCAAGAAGCCCCCAAGAGTCTCCACGAGGCCCACCAGAGGCCCAAAAGAGGCCCCAAGCGGCCCCCAAACGGCCCTCAAAAGGCATCAAAGTGCTGCCGGGAGGCCCCCGGGAGACCTCCCAGGAGCCCCCCAAGGGGTCGGCGGTGCGGCGTAAGCCCGAGAATCGTTTTCTGACACTCCCAGGGCCCGGGGGGGGCCCCGAGAGCCCGAGAACGGGGAGAAGCCTCAGGACCCGTTTCCCTCAGGACCCGCTTCCCCCATGGCTGGCAATCCGCCAGCTGGCGCCTTGGAGGCGCCCGCGGTGCCGAAGACGTAGTCGTCGTCGTCGTCGTCGTCGTCGTCGTCGTCGTCGTCGTCGTCGTCGTCGTCGTCGTCGTCGTCGTCGTCGTCGTCGTCGTCGTCGTCGTCGTCGTCGTCGTCGTCGTCGTCGTCGTCGTCGTCGTCGTCGTCGTCGTCGTCGTCGTCGTCGTCGTCGTCGTCGTCGTCGTCGTCGTCGTCGTCGTCGTCGTCGTCGTCGTCGTCGTCGTCGTCGTCGTCGTCGCGTCGTCGTCGTCGTCGTCGGTCGTCGTCGTCGTCGTCGTCGTCGTCGTCGTAATCGTCGTCGTCGTCGTCGTCGTCGTCGTCGTCGTCGTCGTCGTCGTCGTCGTCGTCGTCCTCGTCCTCGTCGTCGTCGTCCTCGTCCTCGTCGTCGTCGGCGTCGTCCTCGTCGTCGTCGTCGTCGTCGTCGGCGTCGTCGTCGTCGTCGTCGGGCCCGCTTCCCCCGTGGCGAGCAGAGCCCGCCGCGGAGGGCGCGCCGGGGCGCGTAGGGCCGCGCGCGCCGCCGCCCGCCTCCTGGGCGGGCGGCGGGGGCTGCCCGCTGGGGCTCTCGGAGCCATGGAGGGCCGGAGGCGGGAGGCGGCCAGCGGCTCGCGGCGGTGGCAGAGCGGAGCCCCTCGTGCGCCTCCTCTCTCCAGCTCCTCCGCGACCTCCTCCTCCTCCCCAGCCTCCCTCCCCCTCCCCCTCCCCCTCGTCCCTCCCTCCCCTCCTCCTCCTCCTCCTCCTCCTCCTCCTCCTCCTCCTCCTCCTCCTCTCCTCCTGCTCCTCCTCCTCCTCCTCCTCCTCCTCCTCCTACTGCTACTGCGATTGCTACTGCTACTGCTCTGCTCCTCCTGCTCCTCCTTCTGCTCCTCCTCCTCCTCCTCCTCCTCCTCCTCCTCCTCCTCCTCCGCCTCTTCCTCCTCCTCCTCCACCTCCTAATCCTCATCCTCAGCCTCATCCTCATCCTCATCTTCATCCTCGTCCTCCCCCTTCCCCTCCCCCATCTCCCTCCCCCTCCCCCTCCCACTTCCCTTCGTCCATCCCTTTTCCTCCATTCCTGTCGCACCCCTGTCGCACCCCGAGGCTGGTCGACATGGCGTGCAGGGCGTTTCGCCTGAGACTTCCTCACCACGAATGAGCCTGAAACTTGGCTCTCGCCTTAGCGCCGCGCACATTCTGCAAAAACAAATGCAAGAGCTTCACGGATTGCGGGCGCTTCCGTTCCAACATGTGGCTCTCGCCTTAGCGCCGCGCACAGTCGCTTCAAACAATTGCACAAGTTTCACGGATTGAGGCCGGTTCCTTTTCAAATTGTGGCTCTCGCCTTAGCGCCGCGCACATGAGTTTCAAACAACTGCAAGAGCTTCAGGGATTTGGGGCGGTTCCTTTTGAGAATGTGGCTCTCGCCTGAGCGCCACGGACACTCGCTTTAAACACTTGCAAGAGCTTCACGGATTCCTATGGTCGGCGTGTCAGAAACTGTGTTTTTGACAGACTCCCTAGTGTGAGCGCGCAATGTTTACGTTCGCTGAAGTCCCACCCAAGAGTGGTGCCCTGGCACGATTCCGGATCGTCAAGAACTCAACAGACATCCTGATTCGTGGCGCTGGGGTCCTGAGAATGGTGGTTTGGCACGCCTCGTGGTGGGTCTTCAAACGATTGTCTCCCAACGGGGCAGTTCCCTCAATGGAAACGGACCCTTGTAGGGGCCTGTGACGAGAAAGCTTGGAGGGAGGGTGTACTCCAACATCGCTGATGAGTCTTGGGTTTGCACTGGTCCTCGTCCTCCTCCTCCTCCTCCTCCTCCTCCTCCTCCTCCTCGTCTTCCACGTTCCCGATCCACGGGGACCTCCGAGAGCGGCTGAGGAAGCCTGCACCGCGCAGCAGCGCTCGAGGCGGCGCGGTGCTGGGCGGCGTCGCGCGGATGTTGTGCGGTGTTGCGCGGCTGTGGCGCCCTGGCGGGCTGTGACGCCTCACTGCTGGGAGGCCCCTGTGGATCGGGCGAGCAAGGTCCTGGGCGTCGCGGGAAAAACAGAGCGGCACGCTCTTTCGACCGTGTTTCTTGTCTCCGAAGGGCCGTCGAAGCACGGCTCGGGATGAGAAGCTGGCCCTGGGGACGGGGTCGGGACTGCCGTGGACCCCGTACCGAAAGCCAGGGAGTCGGGTCCGTGGCCAGGCGGATCCGCGCCATACAACAAGCGCCAACAAACGATCGATGCGCACGCACGTGGCCACCCGCCCTCGAGACCTGAAAGCGCGGGATCGGATCGGGTTCGGGGCAGATCGGACCGAGCAGGATCGCATGCGCGCACGCATCGGACCGAGCCAAGATCGGGGACCACAAGTCGGGTCGGCTCGGAGTCGGCGCCCCCCACGCGACTCGGAGTCGGAATCGCGCGACTGCACCCAGAGGCGGCTCCTCGGAGAGAAGCCCTCTTCGAGGATCGAGGATCCAGGACCGAGGATGCAAGGTTCCAGGATCGAGGCTTCTGGGCGTGCCGCGCCCTCTTTGCAGGGGGAGGGCACAAGAACAACGATACACCTGCAGCCAACCCGTAGAATAAGGATGCGCGATAAGGCTGCAAGGGCCTTGGAAGGCCATGCCGACACTTTGCAAGCGGGGCGAGGCCAGCGAAAGCATCCAAGGATGGGCCGAAGGGGGAGGATACAAAAGTGTAGCACTTGGAAAACTGCTCATCCTTACTATGCGGGCTGACTGTACGGATCCTTGGATCTGGCGCGTGAGCGCCAGAGCAACGGATCGGGGCAATACAACCCGAAGCACGAGGCCAATACCTCCCGATTTGGCGCCTGAGCGAACTGTTTCTGTTTGCTCTGGGACTCCCAGGGGGCCTTCGTCGCCGCCACGGCTGACTAAGTTCGCGTCGAGATGCTTGCAAGAACGCAATGAAGGATGCAAGATGGGCCGAAGGCGGAGGAGGATGCAAGGAGGAGCCATGGAGTGGCTCATCCATACTATGCGGGTTGGTTGTACTCCCCGGACCTCACCTGGGGTGCGCTCTGGCCAGGAATCCGAAGAAGGTCCAGCCGTGGCGACGAGGGAAGAACATGGGCTCCCTCGGGGGCGACGAGCGCCGTGGTAGGGTGGCCTCCTCCTCCTCCTCCTCCTCCTCCTCCTCCTCCTCCTCCTCCTCCTCCTCCTCCTCCCCATCCTCCCTCCCCCTCCCCCTCGTTTCTCCCTCCTCCTCCTCCTCCTCCTCCTCCTCCTCCTCCTCCTCCTCCACGGATCCTGCTCGGGAGCGGGGCGCGCCCCCCATCTTCTCCCCTCCTGCCTGCAGAGAAGGGGCCCGCAGCAACAGCACCGAGCGCGGACAAAAACGTCCCACGCCAGCGGCCACCGCTCCCATAGGGCCTCCCGGGGGGGGCTCTTCCCCGCCGCGCGGGCCCTCCTCGGGGCCCTCCCTCCGCCGCGGGAGGGGGGCCGGCCAGGGGGCCCGAGCCGGAAGGCTGTGCCGCCCCGGGCGCACGACTCGACACCACGACCGAGGCGCACTCAGTTACCAGCCTCGAACTGATCCCTATCCCTAAGATCGACACGCCAAAAGGCAAAGACAAGCATAGGGATCTGCCCTTAAAAATAAGGGAATCCCTAGATTGGCATCGTGATGAGGAGATGCCCAGCATAGGGATAGGGATATGTTCCAGGCTGGTAACTCAGGCCGAGGCGCACGGCCCAGGAACGAGAGCACCAGGCTGGCTTTCACAGGGGAGCGAAGGGTCGATGCGGTCTGCTCGTTGTCTCGTACTCTTCTCGGGGCAAGGCGCTTCGCTCAAAGAACACGCGTGCAGAGAGGCGTATCGTGCTGTCTGCTGCCTCTGTTCTGGCTGTGCTGGACGATCCGCGGTCTAGGACGCCATCCCTCTACTTACCATCAAAGTTGCGGATCCGATCATCTCAGCGTGCCACCACAGCATCAGGACAGGGAGCAGCACTGTCCACACCGTCCTGACGGCAGACAGCTCGCCCTGCCAGCGGACACAGAAGCAAGGGCGGAAGGCGGCCTATCGAACGAGAGGGAGGAGCACGATCGAGGAGGAGGAAAGGGCAGATGAGGAAGAGGAGGAGGAGGAGGAGGAGGAGGAGGAGGAGGAGGAGGAGGAGGAGCACGATCGAGGAGGAGGGCCAAAACCCGATCTGCCCCCGCCTGGCGCGACACGTTCGGCGAAACGTGGGCCAGCCAACACGTTGAGCCAACACGCAACGCGTCAATACGGATGTCTTGAACACGGTACGTATTGCGTTTCAACACGGGCGCATCACGGCAGCTAAGGGAAGAGCACGATCGAGGAGGAGGGCCAAAGCCGTTGGACGAGTGTGCTCGCCCTTCCTGGGCCTCCGGATGCCTCGGAGGACCCTGGACCTCCAGGGACCCAGACCTCCAATGTCAATCGGCTGTACACCCTGCGAAATGCTTAAGAAATCATGGGTTAAGAAATTCATAGTCTCCGAATTTGAATAAAAACCCAGAATGTCTATCAAAAGCTTAGGATTCATACCAAAACATCAAGAATCATCGAGCCTCTGGCCGAAAACGTAAGTTTTCTTACGCATCGCCTAGGGTGTATACGGCAAGTTCGTGTCGTGACGACCCCGGCGTTGGTTTTTGACACCGCAGGGATCGTTCAACCTTGAACGATCGGCCGTCTCCGCAACGTCCAATCGTTCAACATCGATCGATTCTGGGTCGCCGGCGGCGTTCAACCTTGAACGCCCGCGCTGGGGTCGCCGCTGGTCGACACGACACTAACCTACCGTAAAGTGTCGCTCCGTACCAGGGCACCGCTTCGGGCCCCGAGAGCGTCCAAAGAGGGGATCCAGAAGTAGAGGCCGGCCACGGGAGAAGGGTCGAGCGTCCCCCGCCTGCGAGCGTCGCAACAAAAAAAATACGTGAAGGGGCAGGGAGGAGCAAGACGAGGGACGGCATGAGGAGAATAAGAAACGACACGAAGGATTGCAAAAAACCTAGGATTGCAAAAAACCGACACGAAGGATTGCAAAAAACCTAGGTTTTTTGCAATCCTTCGTATA